AACTCAAATAGATTAGAAGCTAAAGCCTATACTCCAATCCATGAGGACTTAAACAATACATCTATAGTATTCAAAGCATAATTTAACACACAAAGTAACACTGAAACAATACAAAAACAGTGCTAAAAATCGAGTTTTTGAGGTGGAAAAAGTGAGCAAAAATGGGTTAAAGCCAAGGGGTTTCAACCAACCAACAAGCCTAAAGAAGGGTAGCTAACCCCTCCTCTTTTTTGTGCTTAAAATCACATATTTCAGGCCTCAAAATACTTTGAAAACAATATGGAAAAGTAAAGAAAAGAAAGAGAAAAGATGCTACAAAAGCTTAAAGTATACCTCTTAAAAGAGAGGATGCTCTTCTAGTTCACAAACCACAAGTTGAACACTCAAATAGCTGAAACTGTATTCAAGAATCTTAGCAAGTGGCCTCAATTTTGGCTTAGGAAGTGTATGTATGGTATATGTATATTGCAAGAGATGAGTGGAGAGTGTTTGACAAGTTATGGCTCTTGGAAAAATTTTCTAACCCCAAACCATGAGGGGAGGTCATGTATTTATAGAAAAACATCTTCTTATGTCAGAAATATCTATAATGAGACAGCTGGTGCAAAACATGCACATGGGGACAGCCGGCAGCTGTCAAAATATCTGTTGCGCTACATATGGCTGGCCAGCTATGAAGAGGTACGACCGAATAATCAAAAATGGCTTGACGGCCACTTGTTGTCTAGCAGGTCTCTGAGTGGTTAGGCTAGAAAAAATTAGGTTTAGTTCAAAGGGGTGCAAGGTTTAGGTTCTAAAACTCAAAACTGAAGCCTCTTACTGAAGAAATCGAATGATTGTACAACGTAACGTTATTTCATCATCGAGCGTTTCAAAGTGAGGCACTGTAGCTCGACTTTTTGTGCTTCTTTCGGATACGACTAGCCCTACAGTTCGGACTCCTGCGGTTCTGAATATGATCTCACAAGTGCAATGTGAAATAGGTAAACGCCAAAGAGTCCAAATCCAGCAAATCTTTTGGAATCGATTTTGAATAAAAATGTCAAAAATGGACTGCTTTGCCAGATACAGAGTCGCCACCTAAATATTTTTGGAAAATTTAGAAAACCCATAACTCGTGTCAAAGGCCACGTGTCCATCATCACAAAGATTATCTCGGCTCGGGAACTTAGGTACGATAGGGGAAGGTCATGAATTGAGCATCCCACTCGCCCGATCAAAGATCGACCTCTACTAATCATAATGTGAATCTTATTTACATTATATGCTCTTGTTCCAATTATTAAACTAACTTTACTATGTGTTGCACACAAGTATAGACTAATTTGCAAAAATTGGAACATTTGATTCATGTATGTTTGAATATGTACCACTTGGAAAAGCGATCTCATATGAACATTACTCAAATTATTCCAATTCAAGCAATTTAGCCTTCATCCACAAGCATTCAAGCAATTTATCACTAAGCACTTAGCCTCATGGCAAGCATGCTAGACATGAAAACAATCACACTCATACAATATGCTAAAGCACAAAAATGCTCACCTAGTACTCCAAGGTGAGCCAAAAGAAACAAAAGAGTTAGAAAACATGCATGCTCCTAACTAATGCAACATGACTAATACAATACATGTGATATGTAACTAATAGGCTTAGCTACTAATTATTACATGTGAGTCAATTTGATAGCATGCAATTTAAGTACCTTTTCGAAGAAATATTTAAACGACAATGCATTGTTAGAATGATGAACCAAGCCTCGGTGCATGCAAGACAATTTGATGCAAGCATGGAGTATGCTAAAAGGAAAGTGATGTTCTAAACTAACTATCATAAGTAAGTAAATAAAAGGGAGAAAGACATTGGGTTGGAAGATGTACACATTATAACATTGCTTGCCCTCACACAAAAGGATCCGAATGAATAATCTAGCTAATTAATTACCTAATTAACTAACTATTACAAACCCAAATGAATAAATTAGCTAAGCTACTTAAGTAATTATTACAACAACAAATTAATTAACTACTTTAGCTAATTAAATAATTACAACATATAGCTAATTAATTACAAACTTGCTAAATCACAACACTACTATTATTACAACATCATCTTGACAGATCCCAAGAATTGAGGGACGACTCATGCATGGATGTGGATTTCCACCCAATAATGCTCTCTGTTTTGCTACTGGAATGCCTTTGTTGCACTGTCACAATTGGAAAAATACACTATTTTTCACCTCAACTTATTCTCTGCTCTACAGGAAAAAGGGCACTGTCTGCCTTGAAAAAGTGGCTAGCAACCTAGAAGTAGTGGTCAGCAGGCCACTAATAGTGGGTTGCCGTCCAGAAGAAGTGGCCTGCCAGCCACTAGTGCTGGTTCTCTCCTGCAGCAACAGAGGACAAACAGAGCACAAACCAGTGTATTCTCATGGGATGTTTATCCGCCCTACCTCTCCTTATCATCAAACAGGTCAAAAGGAGGAGTAGACTCGATTTGCAAATCATCAATCAGCACAATTTCATTGCGTGTTGACTTATGAATCAGGGGAGACAATTCAATAAATGCATGATTTGAAGACTCTCAAAACCCCCTCCCTATTATAGATTGATCAAGGGAAGTGGTTGACATTGACTCTTGAATCGTTTACATCACTAACAAGTATGAAACGATTGAAGACTCAATGGATTCAATTAACGTCCGATTGAACCTAAGTTGATTTTATTATCTTGCATCACTTTTAGTCCCAATTTTATTGCTTCATTTTAATTACCTTCCATTCCTTAATTCATTAAGTCGAAAGATGAGCTTTAAGTCTACTATTGGAAAGGAGCACCAAACCAAGTGTTGTTTTAAGCATGAGAAAAGTGTCATGCCGTTGGTAATGAACCCTCAAAGGGATTAGACCATTAAGAACAATACCTCTATCCCAAGCTTAAATAAACAAGTAGTTTGAAACAACTTTCAAAGCAAAGAAAAAGGCAAGAAATGATGGAGGTTGCAGAGGTGATTAGAGATGAAAACATATATGGAAAGCAAGAAATAAACACTATCAACTTAAACAGGTTGGTGGCTAAGGCCTAAACCACAAAACCTATGAGGACCATTACACTACAAGCATGCTATACAATGCTTAAATGTAATGAACAACTAGAAACAGTCCTAAAACAGTCAAAATTAATGCTGGACTTAAGACAAAAATTAAGCTAGTAAGCAAGCGCAAGGCGATGAGGCTACCCCCTCCATTTTTGGGACTTCAAAACATGATTTTTAGCCTTTGAAAAACTCTGAAATTCGGTGGTAAAAAGTTCAAAAAAGGTTGATAACAAGGTGGGAAACACAAGGGTAAAAGTCTATGAAACAAGGCTTAAAAAAGGGTGATCCACCCCTCTACCTTTAATGGCCTTAAACCACAAGTTTCTGCTCAAAAATATTGTCCCAAGAAAGTCCAAAAAACAGCCCAAAAATAGTAGCAAAGATGGTAAATAAAGCAAAGAAACAAACCAAGAATTATACCTTTTGAAGGGGGATACCCTTTTGAAGTGACAAACCAACACTTACACACCCTCAAGAGTTAAAAGTAAGCTCAAAAATACCTCAGCACAAATACCACAAGGTTTGGTTTAGAGTGCATAGGCAAAGGCTTAAGAACTTGCAAGAGAGAGAGAGAGAGAATCATAGAGAAATATTTGCTCCAAATTTTTTCCAACCTTTAAAACAAGAGAGGAGATCATCTATATATATGAGACTCCCTCAAAAATATGTATACAAACATGTGTGGGTAGGTGCCTGCATTTGTGGAATTAGCTGGCACAATTGGCAAAAATATTTGAAAAAGCACACAAGTGGCTGGAAGGCCACTAATAGTGGATGGCAAGCCACATTACTAGCCGGCAGTCCACAGTAGTGGCCGGTAGTCCACAGTAGTGGGCCTGCAGGTCACAAGATGTTTAGGCTTGAAAAACTATTGTTTTGGTCCAAAAACAAGGCAAGAGGTTCACAGGGTTTTGAGGCTCAAAGTTGAGGCATTCTGCTGAGGACTTCGAGCACTTGACAAGCATATACAAATTCATCATTGGGTGTGCAATCGGTGGCTCCCAAGTCTTAAGGGCCGTCAAAAATGGGGTATTCACAGGCGCCCAAGTCTTAAGGGAGGTCAAAATGGGGTGTCGACAATTGTTCATTGTTGGGTGGTCTATTCACTTGAGCCGGACCATATAAATCCGAGGCGTGACACACTGGACATGGTATTCCGAGTTGTCAAGCTCCCATTCTCTTAAACTGTAACTATGGCCTGGACATGGCTCCATGTAATGAAGGTTGTGCCGAGTGCATACTATCAGCTCTTGTGGTTCCCTACTTAGTACGGCATCAAGCAAATTCGGAGGTCACAGAGATCGACAAGAGAATGTTACCTATGGCTCTCACCAAGAAGACAAAGAAGCGTGTGGTCAATTCAATTGAGATTCCAGGTCAAAAGGTTCTTGAAAATGTGGAGAATATACCAACTGATAAAGTAACTAAGGATCTGGATTGAGTCATGTTTTCTAAAGATCTGGAGAAGTTTTTTCTCGTTGGAGTGAGTCTTAATGCTATCAAATGACAAGAGCTGGTTACCTTTCTCCTCAGCAACATTGAAGTTTTTGCGTGGACCCCATATGAGATGCATGGAGTCAAGCTGAAAGTGGCTGTGCATTGTTTGAATATGGATTCGAAAGCCAAGACTGTTATACAAAGAATCCAGCAATCAGCTATTAAGCATGCCAAAGCATTTGTGGAGGAAGTTGACAAATTATTAGAGGTTGGGGCAATACAGAAAGTAACTTATCCCACATGGCTATCCAACACTGTGGTGGTGAAGAAGAAAATGGGGACGTAGAGGGTTTACGTTGACTTCACGGATTTGCACAAAGCATGTTCGAAAGACTATTTTTCACTTCCCTGAATTAATCAACTGGTGGATGCCACTGCACTTCACCAGAGGATGAGTTTCATGGATGCTTATCGGGGCTACTATCAGATATAGCTATGGACCTAGCCAATCAGGGGAAAACTTTGTTTCTGACTCCAAGGAGAACCTATTGCTACAAGGTTATACCCTTTGTACTGAAAAACGCTGGGGCAACCTATTAGAGACTGGTCACTACCATGTTCAAAGACCAACTTGACAAAACCACGGATGTGTACATTGATGATATGGTGGTGAAGTCAAAGGAGAAGAGTGCTCATCTTTTTTATCTTGCTACTACCTTTGACATTTTGCAAAAATAAAAGATGAAGCCCAACACCCCAAAGTGTGCATTTGACATTGGCTCATGCAAATTCCTTTGCCATATAGTGAACCATTATGGAAGAAAGGCCAATCTGAAGCAAATTAAGACCATAATGGAACTTAGCTCTCCTAGAATTGTTAAAGAAGTCTAGAAATTAATGGAAATGGTAGCAATGTTGAACATGTTCATTAGCCAATCCTACGATCGATGTAGGCTGTTCGTTCAGACACTTCAGTAGGGACAACTGTTCAAGTGGACCATGGAGTGCCAAGAAGATTTTGAAGGGTTAAAGACCTACCTCAACTCCGTCGCATTATTATCAACTCCAGAGCTAGGTAACGAGCATGTTTTATACTTGGTGATGTCAGATCATGCAGCGAGTGCCGTCTTTCTCAGGGAAGAACTCACCAAGCAGAGACCTATTTTTATGTCAGCAAATCAATGCTTAGAGTAGAAACTTACAATCTACCCCTTGAGAAGTTGATTTTGGCCCTTGTAGTGCCTACTAGAAAATTGATGCATTACTTTCAAACCTATACCATTAAGGTATTGATAGATCACCCTCTTCATTTAGTTCTATGCCGGGCTGAGTCTTCTGGGCGAGTATCCAAGTGGGCGTTGAAACTCGGGCAATATGATCGTAAGTTTCTATCCAGGTTATTTGTTAAGGGTTAGGTTGTTGCCAATTATATTGTCAAATTTACCAGACCAACAACGGCTGATGCCGAATTTAGCATGCTGAGCCAGTCAATATCTTGTCCTGCATAGGAGTGATGAAGGTATGTAAGAGATATATGGCTGATGCCGAATTTAGCATGCTGAGCCAGTCAATATCTTGTCCTGCATAGGAGTGATGAAGGTATGTAAGAGATATATGGCAATTGTATTGTAACAACTTATCAAACCAGTGTGGCAATAGGGCAAGAGTAGTTATCATGACCCCAGAGGGAGCATTGATTGAACAATCGGTTAAACTTAGGTTTGATGCCTTTAAACCACGAAGCGAGTGTGAAACCCTCCTTATTGGCCTGAGAAATTAACTTCAAATGGGTGCCAAGCGCCTACAAGTCTATTGCGATTCAATGCTAGTTATTAATCAGTTGAAAGGGAAATATTGTAATAACCCAACGCTCTCATATGCTTAAACTCCCTCATTATATGTGTGATTATATGTGTGTTTATGTGTTTGATGTAAAATTCCATGTTTGAATGTGTGGATTGTTAGTTTATACATTTATATCTGTCAGTTATGAGAAAACCTATTGAAATTGTGACCATTGGAGTGGAAATTGGAAGACTTAAAGGCGCAATAAACCGAAATCGACTTTATGGTTATAATTAGCATGATTTTTACGATATTATATGAAGTTTTGTAAAAATTTGATTCGTAACAAATTAATTGGAATTATTAGGCACAATTATTAATTAACCTTAATTTAGACTCATGACTCAAGTTTTGATAGATATAAGGGTCACTTCTATGAGCCTTAGAAGACTTAGCCACAAACACAACACTAAAAATATCTCCTAGGAGAGTTCTAGAGAAAGGAAAGGAGAGAAAAGAGAGAAACGAAGAAAAGATCAACTAAGAGCTTGGTGTGAGAATTTTGGAAGGGGATTTAAAGAATAGAGTTCAAGGCATGTGTCAATCAACTAAAATACCCTAAACCTCTCTTCAAGTGATTAGCATCAAGATTTAAAATGATGTTTTTCCACTTATCTAGCTTAGGGTTTTGAAATAATTATTTTTCTTGGGTGAATATCCATGAAAGTTATAAAGATTCTTTGTTTTCATTTGATTTGAGAGTTGATTCTCGTATTTTGAGTTTGTCTTTAGTTAGCTTGAGAAGAATAACCTCCTAATTCTTAGTTTTTACATGCTTTGAACTCATGTATGTATATATGTTTGTATATGTTTTGATAGACCATGGAAAGATGAAGAAATGAAAGAAGTGTGGCAAATTAAGTTGTATATGTCCCATTAAAATGCGTTATGATCTAATTAAGTTTGAGATTCATGTTTATTATGTTCACATGTTACGATATTGAAGGGAATTTTCTTGTATTAGACCTTAGAAATGTATTTGAAAAGGTTGATTTTGATGAAATTTCGGACTACTCAAACAGAGTCTAAAGTCGCACGTGCGGGGTTCATGCCCGTACGTATGGGATGCACAGCCGCACACACGCGTGGAAAACAGGGGAGGCAGGTTGAGCAATCTGAAATAAAAGCACGCGTGGAGCCACACGTGCCGGGGGGGGCGGGACTTCTGCACGTATTTCTAGTGGGGAAAAATTCTATCAACTTCTATTACTCTTTTTGACCCTTTGAATTTGTTAATGCGTATATTTGATCCTTCTGAAATACTTACAATTGAATAGGAATTAAACAAATCGGACAAATGATAAAAGAGAAAAGACTAAGAAAAAGTGACTTAGTTACAAGTTGTATGCTATGTGTAGGTCACACACAGGAAGGGACTGTTGTTCGACCACATCATAGTGAGTAATAGTAGTGTAACGATATGTCTTCTTTACGTATTGTGATTATTATTTATATATTTTTGTTTGTGAATGCCATACGTTATATAAATTATGTTGTGATTGAAATAATTGGAATGATTGAACAATGGCTTATGAAATGGACCCGAGGTCGTTTTGCTTCCGTTATAACTGATGGGCCTGAGGCCGTTATGATGTGAACTACTTATGACTCTTGGCCTTAAGGCCAAGGGAGATAAAGACATGCCGATGTTCTATCTACCCTATAAAGATATGGGTTACTTATGATTCATGGCTTCGAGTCGAGAGAGATGGATGCATGCCAATGTTCCATCTACCCTATAATGTTTCAAACTGATGTTGATATGTTCAGCCCAAGGCCGTTCTGTATTATGCTGGGCCCAAGGCCATTTCATCTTATGTGGGCCTGAGGCCATTCTGAATTGAAATTTTGAATAGGACATACATATGGTTTATATCTAAATATTCTCCAGGACTTATGCTCATTCGCATAAACCTCCTTACATTGTTACTACTTACTGAACCTTGCTCACTCTTTGTATATGTATATTTATGTAGGTGATCAGCCCAGAGGACAACCCTAGGTCAGCTCCAAGAGCCTTTTGTTGGACCTGTTTTGTCGAGCCTCTCAAAATGGAGCCTTTTGCTTTTTGTGGGGTTCCTTTTTATGACATATTGTGTTCAGTCTTTAATGACTTGTTATAGATACACTGTTAATATGTAAATTTTAGGTTTTTACCTCTTTGTATAGACTTGCATGACATGGACTTGTTGGTATATGAACTGTGTATGTAACTTTTCTATATATGGTATGGTGTACTAAGATCCTGGCATTTAAGCACTACTCAATGGACGTTTCATTTGGTTATTACATTTGCTTCCGTTCAGGACCCAATATAAATTTCTTTGTCATCTGTCGGAGGCCGTAGTATAATTAAGAAGTTACTGGTCGGTCATGAGGCAAACTTTTAGGGACGGGTTTGGGTCGTGACAAATATGCTGCAAGCAATGACCAGAGGATAACTGTAGACACCCCATTTTGACTTGCCCTAAGACTTGGACGCTCTTTTCCGAACACCCAATGATGAAAGTTGGAATGTGCTATCTTACGAATTTCTGAGTAGGAGAGCCGGGTTCAAGTTTTAGTCCCAACCTTACATCCGTTTCAGCCAAAATATTTTAGATCCTCTTAAATTCCTTTTCAAACACTCCTACAAAGTTTCGAGGTTCATATTTTCAAAAATCAAGTGTTATATTTTTTGTAGTAAATTGAGCAAGGACAAAGTGGAAATGAGTGAAAGGAATGAAAATTTTTTGTTTGCCCAGATGATTTTTTCGGGAAACAGAGCAGTTTCGGAAAATTCGATATCTTCTCCGAATTTTACACAAATATCTTAGATATTTTTCTTTTAGGTTTCCTCTACAAGTTTCTCAGATATTTTTTTTGCCTCAAAGTCGATAAATATGACCATCCCTCTTCATTTTAAAAGGTTACAAAACATTTTCTAAAGGAAAAAAAGACTTGTTTGAGAGCCTTCTCCTAAACTTCATCTTCAACCTCTATTTCTCATACACCCACCATCAAAACTCCATTAAAACATGACTCCAAGCTTCTTGCTAAGGATCCGAAGAACTGTATAGGACCTTGAGGGTATTAGGAGAGAGTTTGTAAACAAGGAAGCTTATCCTCTCTTCAAGAGGTGAACTTTTGCAACTTTTCTCACTTTCTCTCTTTTTTTCTTCATCTCTAAGCTCTATATTTCACTATTAGCTTGTTATAATCATGTGATGGGTCCTCATGGATGTGGAGAGAACTAGGATATAGCCACCCATCCATTGAGTTAATTGTTCTTTCTATTTTCTTGTGCTCTTGAACATTTTTCTTACTTTCTAGTGCTATAATTTATTGTTGTTGTACATAGATATGTTAATTGGAACCTCATGGATGTGGAGGGAACTAGGATATAGCCACTCATCCATTGAGTCAATTGTTCTCTTTATTTTCTTGTGTTGTTGCACACTTTTCTTGCTTTCTAGTGCTATAATTTGTTATTGTCTATAGATGTGATACTTGGAACCTTGTGGATGTGATTGGGAGTAGACTGTAGCCATCCATTCACAAGTGTGATATGTAGAATATATATTTTTTTCATTGCACATCTTCACCTCACATATCCTACTATGTAAGCATATCAATCCATGTGTTTCAACCTATGCTCAATATTAGTGAGTAACAGTGGTTGTTTCATAGGATTACTTAGATGATTCTTGGGATTTGATGTTAAGAGGTTTTTGTTTTCCATTTCATTGATTGTTGTTGGAAGCAAAACAAGAGATTCAATG